AAGGAGAAATGTTTAGGGTGTAATAGGTTTTTTATAATTTTCGAAAATAAAATCAGATTTAAAAATAATGGCATTTTGGTAAATAGGTGGAAACATGAGGAGAGTTTAGGTTTTTTAAGAGTGAATAGTAATGACAAAAAAAAAGAGGTTGGTTTTGTGTTTGACTTGAAATTTTAGGTTGGTTTTGCAAAAACCCCATAAAAATTTCTAAGATAATAAATTTAATATTAGTAAGAGAAATTCTATAAAAATATTTCAACTAAATTTCTTTAAGTTTTTTAATACCTAAATTTTTTCGCTGCCCAGTTTAATACCCCAACTAATTATTTTACTCATTTAATGCATAAAATTTTATAAATGTTCCCATTTTAATCTTAAATTTTGTTTATTTAATTAAAAATATAATAAGTTTCCAATGAAATTTTAAAAATATCTAAACTTTACAAAAAAAAATAGTTTTATTACATGTTTGAGAAATAAAATTAAAATTTTTTTATAATCTTAAGTTTTGTAATAAGTGTTTTTTAAGTTTTATATATTGAATTTAGTTTGTTTTTTTGAAATAAAAAGTAAATTATTTATTTTCCTTCAAATTTTTTTCTAAACATTAAATTTTCTCCAGAGTTTATTTACCTTCTTTTATAAATCTTCAAGTAAATTTAGAAAATTTAAATATTTTTTGTTAGATTTTGGAGATTTTAAAAAATTTTGTTTGAACTTATTAGTATTGTTAATTAAATTAAACAAAATTTGAGTATTAAAATGGACACAGTTATAAAATTTTATGTATTAAAGTGGACAAAATAATTAGTTAAAGTATTAAACCGGGTAATTAAAAATTTTGGATATTAAAAAGCTTAATAGAATTTAGTTGGGATATTTATATGAAATTTTTCCTGTTATCAATTAGTTAGAACTTTTCTAGCTTTTGATTTTAAAATAAGATGCAGATGAATAATAACCTATAAATTAATGAATGTGATGATATAAAATAATTTAAATTATTTTATTTTGTAGTTTTGAATTTATAAAGTAATTATTTTTATTATAAAGGGGATATGCGTTTTTATTTTTCTTTTTAAATTTAATGCAATCTTCATTTCACTCAAAATATTATATATTAAGAATTATTAAATCTTCACATCCCTAAGATGAAATTGTTACCCCTAATTTCTTCTCAAATTACATAAATAATATATTTCCTCCCGAAACATGTTTCTTATACTATTTTAGTGGGCCGTGAGATTTCACAAGCCCATTAACCGAGCAATAGGCTTTTGTTATTATTGCCTTTTCTAATTATTATTTTCTTTCTTTGTTGGTCAAATATTATCTCCCTAAAATGTAAATACATACTTAGCCAATAAAAGGAAGTAAATATCAAATCGTATCTTTTTGAAAAAACTATGACCTGGTCTTGTTAAGACTAAAAACAGTCCATAACACATCAGCATTACTCTCCCCAAATTAATTAATTACACTTTTTTTTGGACAACTAATTAATTAATTACACTTATTACAGTCATTTTCATAAATATCGTTAAATGTTTTCTACAAAAATTAAAGAAAGGGATTAATTTTAATAGATAATAAAAACCAGTATTTAAAGATAATACGGTCCTCACAAACTCTTTACCATTCACCAAGACGGCAAAACAAGATGTCGACAGTTTCACCTTCCCCTCAACTAGTTCAGGTGGTTCCAGACAACCAGAACAACAACACTGGCGACAACGTCAAGTACGAAGATCTTGTCCGTAGCTCCGACATCTTCCTGGAGCATCTCAAAACTCTGCTCGGATCTTACGGGAGAACACTCAAGTGAGTTTTTTTTTTCATTTTCCTTTCCTCTCGTATTTGGTTCTTTTGAGGTTTTTGTGTGACTGTTTTGTTGTCTTTAAGATTGTAAAAAAGAAAGAAAAACCCAAACTTTCGTTTGTGGGTATTGTTTGTTACTCGTACTGATGTAATTGAATGGGTTTTTGATCTTTTGGTTCGGTGATTGTAGAACTCATCATGCAAGTTCTTTAGGGTTGTTGATATGTTGTGTGGTACGTTTTTGTGCTTAGTGGATATTCTAATTAGGGTTTAAATGGAATTTTGTATTGGTGCAGTTAAAAGACACATCCTTTATAATGATTGATTCCTTAATATCTGCGTTTATGTCATGTGTTTAGACTGTTCAATTGGGTTTATAGTGTTGTTTACCTGTGTATTTATGTGTGTTTGGAAACTCTCTTGTTCATAAGGAAACTAGAATCAAATTGGATTTGGTATTTACTAATCTGAAATGTTGTGATTAAGATCTAATAAGTTTAGGGCTTTATATGTTCTGTTGTCTATTTTCTCTCTTTCTATTTGGATTGACACATTGTTATGTTTTTGTAAAGGGTTCCAACGGTGGGAGGGAACACTTTGGACCTGCATCGGCTTTTCGTGGAGGTTACATCTCGTGGTGGGATTGCAAAGGTATGAGTTAATAGTACCAGTGTTCTAAAAATCGGTCTAGGCGGGCGTATAGTCATCAAATCGAACTTAAACGAAACAATTTTTCAAAAATTTGGTCTAAGCGTTTAAAAGATCGGTCTAGGCGTCCGCCTAATCAACAATACTATATAATCGCCTAATTAGCGCCTAGCGATTTCTTGAACATTGGTTAATAGTGTCATTGATTAGAACTACTCAGATATATTGTTGTTTGTTCCATTTGAGTATTGAAAATCTGTAATTTTTTGTGGTAATGTAAGGTGATTAAAGATAGGAGATGGAGGGAAGTGATAGGAGCATTCAACTTTCCAAACACAATCACAAGTGCTTCATTTGTGCTGAGGAGGTGCTACTTGAAGTTCCTTTTTGAGATGGAGCATGTTTATTACCACATGCAATCAGCTTCTTCAGTGAAATCAGCAGGTCTTTTATACAACACTCAAACTTCTTATTATTTTCTTTACTTTGTAACATCCTGAGTCACCATAACCTCTTTTGATTTTCAGAGGAAGCAATGGAGAGCCTCTCCCCAAACCTGGAGGAAGGTATTACAAAAAAGTTTATTTAACTGTGTCTTTTGTTTTTCTTCAACTCTTGTGTCTGATTATATTGACACTTTTATGGAACTTGAAAGGCACTGATGAACCAGAAATAGGGCGGGTGATTAACGGAGTCATTGATGGGAAGTTCGACAGTGGATATCTGGTGACGATGAAAATAGGTTCTAATGTGCTGCCAGGAGTGCTTTACCATTGTGCTGCTAAAAGGCCACGTCAGCCCGAACAAGCCATGGGAATACCTTCAGCCATGGCACCATCATCCCAACGCCGAGCTAAGAAGAAAGCAAGAGTGGCTACTGTTGTTGATTCTCAGAAACCCAAATGCCACAGGAGTGGCTACAACTTCTTCTTCGCTGAGCAGTACGCTAGGCTCAAACCTGAGTACCATGGAAAAGAAAGGACCATCACCAAGATGATAGGACGCATGTGGGGCAATCTCTCCGAGTCTGAGAAACAGGTAACTGAATTAGTACTCATCATCAAATCAAATTCACATTTGTTATTAAACTCAGTGTTTGATTACAAGTTGATATCATCTTCTTACAGGTTTATCAAGACAAAGGAGTTAAGGATGTGGAGAGGTACAGAACTGAGATGCTGGAGTACAAATCTGCACATGAAGCAGGAGCTTCTGCTTCTGGAGCAGCTCCCTTAGCTCAGTAGTCTTTTTTCTGTTATGTTGTTGTCTTATATGTTTATGACATTTCTCTTTCTTTCTTTGGACAAGTTCTTTTTTCTTTTTTATGATGCATTTTATGTCTTTGATCAGTTGCAAAACATGCCATGTTTATGGTTTTAGGGTTAGTAAAGAGGTTACTAACTGCGCATTAATGTCTTTCTTGTTGTTTTGCTTAATGATATACCATCGTTTTCTTTTTGTTTACTTGTTTTTCTTTGTTGCAGAAACTTGAATTAACTATTGCCATTAGCCTAGCCATTTTGTAATTCTTAGTAGACATCACAAAAATAAAGTTTCATTAGTCTAGTGGTTTGATTAATGATTAACTAATGTCTTTACACTAGGAATTTTGGATTTAGAATGTCAGCAACTGCGAAAGTATGCATATTAATGGAAAAATAATTTACAAAAAGTATGCAGATTAATGGAAAAAATTTACAAAAGATATTGAACAAAAAAATTTACAATGAATTCTCGTAAGACATATAGAATTTTTTTTTGGGCAGCGAGATGTAGAATTATTAGTTGTATAATCGTTAGTAATATTTTTCATTCATTAAACAAATAATGGAATCATAAAATCTAATTATATAAAATAGATGTTGACATGAAGTTACATGAATCCATGTTGTCTTGTTAGACATCACAAAGTAAAAGTCCTTTTAGTCTAATAGTTTGATTAATGATTAATTAATACTTTTACATTAGGAATTTGGATTTAAAATATCAGCGATCCAAAATTATGCAGATTAAAAAGATACCGAACAAAAAAAATTACAATAAATTCTCGTAAAACGAGTAAATTATTGATTGTATAATCGTTTGTAATATTTTTTATACGCTGTCCATCCATTAAACAAATAATAGAATCATAAAATCTATTTATATAACATAGATGTTGACATGGCGTTACATAAATCTTATATCGTTCTTGTTAGACGTGAAAGTTTTATTAGTCTAGTGGTTTAATTAAAGATGAATTAATGTTTTTACATTAGAAATTTTGGATTTAGAATGTCAGCGTAAAATTATGCAGATTAATGGAAAAATAATTTACAAAAGATATTGAACAAAAACAACTTACAATACTATAAATTTTCCTAAGACATATAGAATTATTAGTTATATAATCGTTTGTAATATTTTTTATGCGTTGTCCATCCATTAAACAAATAATAGAATAACAAAATCTAATTATTTAAAATAATAGAATCACAAATATAATTACATAAATTCCATTCTCAGCTATGTTTGATAACGAATTAATAATGGAATGAATGATTTTGATGCTTACATGTTATATTTGGCAAGAATGCGTTCAGAAAACAAATATTTTGTGAGACACTTCATTGATGTTTTCAAAAGTGAAACAACTAACCAACACTATTTACTGTACACATCTTGAACCTTCAGAAGACCAGACCTAAGGAAACAACACACAAGCCGCCGGCAAAGGAAACAAAAGACAATAACTACATAGCATTTGCACAACACATCATTTACACCTTTTAAGACATCCACTATATCTATGCTTCTTGCATCTGTTGCTGTATGAGCTCTCTTTTATTCGTTGGAACGGGACGGGTTGTGTATACTTCTCTTCTTGCTTAAAGAAACGAATCAAGATATGAAAAGTTCCTGCGCCGATGATACTCAAGGAGGCTACCATAAGTACGGTCCCATACCCCAATGAAGAGCGCCTCTGTGTCAGGGCTGAAAGATATTCCAGAAATCTCCCCAAAGAAGTCTATCTCCTGCTCTGTTTCATACCCCTTTGAGACGCCATAGACATGCACAAAGTCTGCTGGTTCTGCCATGGCCATGTATTTCCCATCAGATGTGTAGCGGATTGACCGGATTGCTCCAAGGTTACCTTTCAAGACAGCAACGGAGTGAGATAGGTTGCGGATATCCCATACACGGCATGTCTTGTCTTGGTTTCCAGTTGAGAAAGTGATTCCATCAGGATGCCATGCAGAGGCAAAGGAATAGTCAAAATGTCCTGATAGTGTTTCCAGTGTCTGTAGAGGATGTTCCAAAGATTTGGCAATTATAAAGCAACCATTTGAGAGTATTTACACACTTGGGGTTATGATCGAGTAAATATATACCTTTCCTGTGTTGGGATCTACTATAAGGCCTTCTGGATTGTCCCCAACAATAGCCAGTAGTTTACCATTAGGACTCAAAGATGTGTGCTGTACCAGCAAATGGAACAAAAGAACATCATTTTTTTGGTTAGATGATTCAACGCACATGTATATTTATATCAGATTTATGCTAAATCAAAATCAAAAAACATGAAAGAAGTAAGAGTTTACATTCACTGGCCAAGGAAAAGAAAAATGCTTAACAAGCTGGTATCTCTCCATGTCAAAGTCTCTAACTCCACAGTCATTATTCGAGGCAGTAAAATGAAGGGCACCACTATGAACAGGTGACAAAAACAAAGTTAGAAGCAGTGACTCTAACAATTATATCTAGACCCTTCAGCAAAAACCTGGGGTTGTTGTAGATCTCAATAGCATTGGTAATAGCATTATCATCGTAAGTGGTACGAGAGCAAAAGCTGACACCCGGTCTATCAAGATGCTGAAACCAATGCGGAAAGTAGAAACAGACCAAGCTTGTCAACGAGAATGCATGTAACAAAACGTTGAGTTGACTACTCAATAATCAATATATCTACAGACTCTTAACCTTGCAGATAAGCTCTCCTTGAAATCCACCAGCAACAAGAAAGTCGTCTTTTACAGCAAGTGTACTCACTTGAGTCTGTGTAAATCCTTCCAGCAAACTTCCAGGATGTTTCTAAATGCACCAAAGACAGAAAATGCAGAGTCAAATTATAATAAATATAGTCGAATCTAAGGATAATAACTCTAGATTCTGGCCAAAAAAACTAACCTCAGATGGTGCAACATGACCACGAACATTGAGAACTTCCTTCTTTTCAGATGTTAGAGAAGAATAATGCGTTAACAGGAAATTAGACATAAGATACACGTCGTGCTTGGATGTTGCCCACACCAAGTTCCTCAACTATATGAAACCAATCAAGATTCTTGATCAGATGGAATTTTTTCATTACTAGATAAATGTTATGTCCTCAACTAGTCCAAAAAAGGAACCTGGAAATGAAGGATAGTAGATTTGATAGATCTTGAATTACGCCAGAAGTCATAGAACTGTGCCCCTTTCTGTGTGACATTGCAAACCTGAATCCATGCAAAAAAAACAATGATGCATATTAAGTAGAGGCTATACTAAATTACTAACAAAAAATAAAAACTAACTTACTTTTTCAGATGATTCTCCTGAATTAGGAACGTTTTCATAATTTTTATACTGTTGCAACCTAGTTTGTCTGTATTTATCTCTAGAGATACTAAGCCTATCCCAAGGAATCCCCTGGATATCTTTCCCTTTCCGAGCTTGTTCTGCCGATGTATCAGCTACTTTATTATTCTGTCAAATGGAACACACCAAGTCATAAGCTGAAAACAGAGATAATAAAGTCAAAGGAAAAAAAATAGAGAAGCAAGTATATATTATACAGAGTAGTCAAACTCCTCAACGTCAGAATCTGATGCATCACCACCACGAAACTCATCATCCATATCATTATCATCTTCCACATCTTGCATCTCATGATCATTTACATCTTCTTCCATGTACTCTGCAGCAGCATCTCTTTGGTAATTGGACATTTTTTTTTCTTCCTTTTTAGCAAGTGGCACCTTCATATACAAAAAAAAAACATGGACTATGATCTATGACATACTTTAAAAAAAATAAAATTAAAAAAATTCAAAATCCTAACAATTGCATCTAATAAAATAGAGAAACAAGTCTGAAAATAATTATATTCAGACAGTTCATGCGCACAAGCAACAAACAAACTCTAACAATCACATCAAATAAGTAATATATATGAAGGAACACAAACCCTAGAAGGAATCGTCACACTTCTTTGTTTTCCGAGAAATTTCAGGAACAAAACCGAAAATACAGTCCTCCTAATTTCAGTTTCGAGTTCATGTGATAATATTAAAATAATCAAAAGAGAATAAACCAAAAAAACGAAAACGGGGAAGAAGAAGAGAGAGAGAGAGATGAACAGACAAATTTATCGAAAACTTTATCGGAATCTAGAGTGAGTGAATTAAACCAACTGTCATAAGTTAATAACCAGATTTGGATTTTGAGATACTTTTTTACATGTTTACCCTTTAATTAGATCCGTCCCCAAATTTCACACAGGTTTCTTTATGAGGGCAGGTTTGTCTTTCTTTATTTTTAATTATAGCATTATCTTCGGACACAGAGACATACTACTCTGTACTACTTTTTCTTATTATTATCCCCAGAAAAAACCCCACGTCGTCTTGTTATGGTAATGGAACTAATGGTCCCACTCCAATTATTTTTTTAAGTTTACACTCGCATTATTCCATGTTAAATTCAATTAGGAAGAGATAATCAAGCAAAAAAAAATTTAAAAAAGATCTTGGATATTTTCTGTAACTCTTTAAAATATTATATCATTCAGAGATTTCCGAATGGTTTTGAAGAAATTGATGTCCGTGGCCTTTTCCGATTATTGGGCATGGGTCATATAAATGGGCTTTGAGGATTATTGCATAGGCCCACGCAAAAAAAGCTACGCCGTTGCCGGGGATCGAACCCGGGTCACCCGCGTGACAGGCGGGAATACTTACCACTATACTACAACGACTTTGTTGTTCACTTCATCAAAGCTAATGTACATAACTTTATTTTTGTTTTGGACTAGTAGTACTAGTAGCAATGGTACCATGCAAAATATGCGAGTTTACTTGATCCATCTAGAAAGAGATAAAGAAAATGCTCTTTGGATAACAAACATAGCTTTTGAAGTTTGATTTTAGATCCATGAAGGAGAATCCGTCTACTATACTAAGAGGCCTTACACATAGCATAGGTTATACACAAATCAAATGTCAGAAAGTGCAATAGGTTTCCTCCTGATGTCAGTGTCACTGATCTAAGAAAACTTTGATCCTTCAGTGTTCTGATCTTTTTTTTTCAAGAAAAGTTTCGTTTCTAATAATGTAGAGAGTTGGTTTAGAGTTGGTTTGTTGGTTAATTCTGGTTATGTAAAATGTACTCGATAATTCTGTAAACCGATACTATAAATGTAACAGAGAACAACGGAATCAATAACAGAAAATACTTTCTATTTTCATTTTCTCTTTCGAGCTTGAGCTTAGCTAACAGTTTCGTCATTTCATATACAAAATTGAAATGCCAAAGTGATACTAAAATTCATGCAGAAACTTCTTTTGCCCAAGAAAGTAAAATAAAAACAGAGTTTTTGAAGAGAGTGGAAAGTGATACTAAAATTCATGCAGACTTTTTTCTTTTTCAAGAAAGTGGAAAGTAGAATAAAAACAGAGTTTTTGAAGAGAGTCCGTTGCAACATGTGGACTTTTCGGATTAATGGGCATGGGTCATCATAGGCTTTCGAGGCATTAAAACGGCTCAAGAGAAAAAAAGGACCTTTACTTGTTCCAACAGAACTTACAAAACGTTTAACTTGATTCAAGTTTATGGAAACAAAACCACATTAGAATCAGATCTACATCTTTAGCATCTTTCTGTTCATGAGATCATCAGAGCTTTTAGTTAAGACCCCCACCTTGCTTCACACCAGACTCTCTTCCAAGAGATTTATATAGCATCTAACCAAAAAATACAACAGAACAATATGAAAAAAAAAGGTTAAATGTCATGGCTGTATAATGGAGAAAAGAGTTCAAAAGAACCAACTAACCTTCATGAGGATCTTCATGTACAAAGAAACTAGCAGCTACTATCAAATAACAAAGAATGAGCATCAATCCTTTGAAGTAATTCGATGTCCCTTCCTGTGTGTTACATACACATCCATCAATCAATTAGTTTTCTTTTTTACCATTATCAACCTATAAGGTGGACTTCTTTACCCTACCTGGAGAAAAAACGCTACTACTATAACTGTGATGAACAGCATAGCTGTCTCAAAAAGCTGAAAGTTCAAGTCCATCTGTTCACCCATCATCCATCCAATCACCACACAGAAAGGAACCTAACCATATACAACCAGCAACAGAGATTAATAAACAACCCTCTTGTTGGCAAAAGATGACTATACTACTTCTCTTGCAATATGTACTCATGTTACATACCACAAACATGGAGATTTGGATAGAGGAACCAATAGCCACTCCCAAGGACAGATCCTGTAGAGATCAAATAAAGTTCAACAATGTCTCAAGGCAAATTGATGTTACAAACTCAAGAACTACTCTGCCTACCAATTTATCTTTCATGGCAAACATGATAGCACCTGCATGCTCTGCTGCATTCCCAACTATAGGAAGCAATATGACACTGATAAAAGCTATTGGTATGTTCCAAGAGACCGATGCACCCTGAGAAAAAAACAATTACATAAGTCTCTACATTACTTAGTATTGGCCAGTGAATGTAAGCGAAGTTACCTCTATGGCATCAACAAGATAGCCAGAGAGAAGAGAGACCCAAGCAGTCAAGATTGAGAGCCATATGATAGCTTCCCACTTTGAGATCTCAGGATCCTCATCTTCAGCAGAAGCTTCTTCATTCTGATTTGTTTCCTAGAGTTCACAGCATATAGAGTTACACAAACCAAATTGGTTTATTATATACATAGAATGGATGAAACAACAAACCTCTTCAAGAGGGGTATAAGAATTAGACTGGCTTTTTAACTGGAAGAAGAGGTAAGCAGCATAGGCTATAAGCATTATGCAACTGCTGAACCTTGACAGGGCCATCTCTGATGATCCAGCATGAACCTCACTGTGCGTGTAGTGAAGAACAGCAGGGAAGAGTATCCCCATCACAGCCATCAGAAGCAATCCTGAGTTCACAACAGCAATTCCCTGGATGCACAGGAACTAATGTCAGAAACCACCATAAAGAATAGCAATAAATAAAGTGGATAAGGACTAGTATTACTTTGTCGAAGACTTGGTCTTTCTGGTAAAACACTAGACCACCACAGAAGAAAGCGCAGCCAAGTACAAGCAACATGTTGGAAAGAATGGATCCTAGTAAAGTCAGCTGAACAACACGTATCATTCCGTTTTTCAAAGCGAAAAGAGATATGATCAGTTCTGTTACATTCCCGAATGTAGCATTTAGAAGTCCTCCAACTGTGAAATTTGTACATCATGTCAAAATATATCATTTAGAAAAAAAAAAGGAACTGCCTGTTAAAGAAGAATCAGTTCATACCAGTAGGACCGGTGTAAAAAGCCAGTTGCCTGTTTCAAATAAGCCAATACTTAAACACATAAGTCTCATGAACAGAACAATGATACGTTAAGTTTGTGCTAATAAGTGCTTACTCTGTAGCGTATCCTAGACGTTCAGCCAATGGTGTAATCCCAATTAAGCTCAGCAAGAACACCCACCCCTGAGCCAAGTAGAGAATCATTTCTTCAGATTTAACTCTTAGAACATGAAATGAAACTACTAGTATTGTTACACTCATGAACTCCAGCAATTTACCTTACTATCTATCATGTAGTGAACCAATATCGCTAGAGGACCGAAAGGTAATAACATATTGAGTTTATTAGATAAAATCACAATCTTGAAGCTCCTAAGAACACTGTTCTTTGGCGATTTAGTTGTGTGTTCACGGAAACTTGGAGAAAATGATCCTTTCTCCATCAACGAAGCTGCTTTAGTTTGCGTGGTATCTTCTTCTTTTCTAAATAGACTTTTGTGCTCAAGTTCATTAACCGAACCCATCTGTTACAGTAGAGCATCTTATCATTAAGCTCAGAAACTCAGATAAGAGATAAGAGCCGTCGTGAACTTACTTCAACTTGTGCTTGTATTAGAGCCGGGACTTTACAATGACTCATACCCTGGTGCTACCAAAACATGGACCTAGAATAAAACATTCAAAAGGCAGAGTCTTGTGGTAACTGTTATTTCAAAATAGTGAAACAATCATATAAAAGGATCATTCTAAAAATCAGTCTAGACGGCCATAAACCCCGCCTAAACGACAAAATCCAATTTATACGAGTCAAATCGGTTTAAACCATTCTAAATCGATTTAAAAGTCTAAATCTGTTAAATTAAGCTATAATGTTAGTTCAAATCCACAAATTAGTCTAATTTCTTTTATTTTGTATATAAAGCAACTAGTTGAACATTGTATAAAAGAAGCAAAAATTACTCATTCCTTTATGAACAATCTCTAAAACCCTAATCTAAAGACCTTACAGCAGAAAGAAACTCCAAGAATCAGGGAGAAGTCGAGAGTACTTTGGTTTTGAGAAAGAAAGAAAAAAAAATACCTTGAAGTCAACGAAGGGTCAGAGAAGAAGAAGAAGAATTCGAACAAGTTGCAGAAACCAAATCAAGAGCATAAACAACAAACGACTTTGAAGTTTCTATTTATTTATTTTTTTTGTTCTGATCTGCTGGAGAAGAAGGAGAGAAGTCAAGGGTGATTTTAAAATGATAAGAATAATAATAAAAAGTGCATGAACGTGATTCCGTGATCTGGATGGCGGTGTAGAATCAAATCCCTTAGATCTCAGATGATGCTAGTAGAAGAAGCACAAGGGGGGAAGTTTCGTTCTTGATTCAAAGTTGGAAACCTTTCATTAGTTTGAAGAAAACAAGTTTTTGTTTTAAACTGAAGAAGAAGAAGACACATATAACGTTTTGTCCTAAAAAAAAAAATAGCCCGCGAATCTTACGTATATATATCACAATAAATTGAAATTAATTCATTTGTGTTTTAAATTTTTTTTTTTTTTACAAATCAGTGAAACGAAACGAGGGGTGCAAAAGTTCAATTTCTAGTACAATTTTTTTCTAAAAAAATTGCCAAGTGATATAACGGCATGGATTTCTTTGCTTTAGTTTCAGATTCAATACATGTAATGATTATTTTTTTTCCAAAAGGAGATAAAAATCGAACTAAAATGAAAATATATTTTAAGTATAAATATCAAGCTTGTTGATAGACTTATAAATATATTGAATTACAAAACCCAACATGGCATGTATCCCACTATCTTTTATATATTGGACCACCAATAATGATTGTCCATAAGTTGATAAATCTTCCAATTGAATCGAAAGTAGGGATCAAGTTTCAACCCCCACTTGTTTATGCTACTTATGAGATCTAATATTTTGAAATAAATAATTTCTTCACATATGTATCAGGATTATTCTGAGTTTGAGTTTAATTGGTTTTCTTCTTTTCTTTTTCTCTTTTATTTTATTTCACCAAATACTTGAAATCAAGTCATGCAAATTACAATATAATCTTTTTAAATTAACAATTTATAAATTAATTTACATTAAAAATCTTTATCAAATAATATAATTTTATAGTTCCAAATTAAAATTTTGGTTTATTGATATATAGATAACTTAATAATTTTTATAAATTAATAATTTTTATAAATTAATAAAAAAATATAGTTTTGGTGTTGTCCACACATTATTAATTTATATAAATTTTTACTATATATTATAAAACGGGTCAACTGTCAAAGATCTGACTTGAATTGAACACTACGGGCCATCATTGATTTGACCCAAAACGGCCCATTAGATCGATGTCGCCCAGTTTACAAAAGCTTTAACAATATGTAGACTGAGACAATACCGGTGAGCTTACTCAGATTATAATTTCGACATATCCGTATAATTAAAAATAATTTCGATCATAAAAATCATTTTTGTTTAAGATGTTGAGAAGTACTTTTCAGTAAAGCACATAGCCAGGTAGCTTCTTCATACTCGAGTTGTCGCTCTACAATACGCATTATTAATATTGGTTTGTTGTTCAGCTACGTCGTTGTTTAATTATTTTATCCCTATAACATTTTATTTTAAAATAAGCCAAACACACCATATATATTAATTTAGGTTTGAATCAGTGACGAATATACTGACGATCAACTTGTGAAATAAAGAGAGATGATATGTACCAGCAAATTATCGACATACTAAAACAAAAAAAGATAACCTTGTGGACGTGTGGTATATTTCTGTGGACTGGTAGTGTTTTTTTAATAGGTCCGGCGTTTTTATCCCAAACCTAATTTTTCACCTTAATCCAAAACGCAAAAAACCAAAAAGATATTCAAACGTTAAATTTAACTATCCAAACATTATTGAAATATATTAATATTTCTATATATATTAATATTTCTATATATATTGAGATAATTTAGATGTTTTATAGTTTTTCTACAAGTTATTTTATTTATATATTTTGAGTGTTTTGTCAATTTTTAGTTTATTTTTTTGGGTAATTATTTATTTTGGTTATAATCCGATCTGAACTAAATTCAGAAAAAATTGAACCGAATTCGATCTGTAATTTGTAAAACCTGTAAAACCCGAATGAGATTTATAAATATAATACTAAATTCGAAAATCCGAATCAACTAAACCGAATTTGACGAGGACTCGAACACCCACATCTACTTTTTAATGACAAACTCTTATAAACATGGTTAGATATTAATCTAGTGCCTGTTTTCTTTTTTAAAAATCTAGTGCTTGTTATTAACACAAAATCGATGCTTTAGATATCAGATTTGCAAGAAAAGTTCAATATTATGTTCATAGAAGTTGTTAATTCGTACAATGAAAAATAAATAAGGAAACAAGCAAAGAAGAATCAGCGTCTGTGGAACTTGGAGTGCACACAAAACATGACTCCCCCACCAAGTCCAGTAGGTCCCCACCTTAAACTACATAATTAAATAAAGCACCATTATAATCAAGTAATCAACCAGCTTTATTTAATCATATTACTATTTTTTGTAGAAAAGTATAAACGTTAACTATTGCTAGTCACTCATCATAAAATAACTAACAAAGTTGAAATCCACCCATCCATGACATTTACTACTAAAATATGTAACCTATCCATGATTGCTTATTACCACTAATAACCACAGTCTAGAAGCTTATGCTTATTGCGAGTCATTCACGATTAAGAAAACATAACATAACTAAGTGAAATTCCCACCGTCCAAGAGATTAATTAACCTCTGCCGATTAATTATCAACCATATATTACAGAAGCCTTAACTACTTTAATTTCTGTTTTTTTCTTTAACTAAATGGTTGGACTCATCCATCGTTCAAACTAAACACATAACAAAGAGTGTGTTTAGCACATAATCGTAACGTAGGCTTTGTTGGGTTCGCTATCTTCTAGAAGTCCTATCCATCTTGGTGGCCTAATGAAGACATCCTTTAAGATAACACCCTTGTCTATTTTCCTGTACACTAATCCGACCATAAACAGATTTATAAGCGAATAATTCTGTAGATAATAAAGACAAAAGAAAAGCTTCTAGAAAAGCGTTGATATTTGTTTGTCCCGTATATTTTTCTTGGTTGTAAAGATACTTTATTGCTGTTCTTTTAATCCTGAGCCGTTGGTTCTCAGGACGCGCTTTCTTCTAGAAGCACATTTTTGCGTTGGAACCAAGTTTATTATTTAACCAGTGGAGAAATGTTAAACATATGATAAAACACTATTTCTAGATTTAAATTAATTGTTCGAGTGGATTGTTCAGAAAACACATCCTTTTATTTAATTTAATGACTAGTTTAAATTCATAAAACATGTAATTACAGAAAATTAGTTATTCTCCAATTAGGGATGATACAAATATAATATTTAAATAACTTTATCAATTTGACATTGACATGTCATCATTTCAGTCATAGTGAGCTGATCAAATAACGCTGAGCCGAGCCGATAAAGGGATTCTAGAAGGCCAATCTTTTAAACTAGATGACACGTCAGCGTACCATAGAATTTTCAGAAAACTGGTGACTGCCCGTCTCTCCCACGGGTTTTTACCTTTCTTTTTTCCTTGATTTTCGCTCCTTTCTAATTACTATATTTCCATTTCAACCTCTTAACTTATCATTTTATATAAATTGAACAGTAAGTTTTACTAATCAGCTAAGAAAGTTTAATTAGTGTTGATTTTCGCCCCTTTCTAATTACTATATTTCCATTTCATCCTCTTAACTTATCATTTTATAGAAATTGAACAGTAAGTTTTACTAATCAGCTAAGAAAGTTTAATTAGTGTTTATCTATTTCTACTTACCTTTTTTTGGTTGACATTTCTCTACTTTCCAATAACAGCTAGAATGAACATACCCGGATTTCTAAAACCTTGTAAGATATCGAATAATAAACAATTAAAATATCAGGAAAATAATAATGACGAATATTCTAAAATTTACAAAAACTTTTCAGCTTTGAGCTCTTCTCTATAAATAAAGGTCATATCTCAATCCTTCTCTCCTTGTGATTCATAATCTACTCCTCCGCTTCTCTTCTTTCTCATTCACCCCTCTGATTTTAAATTAATTACGTAAATGTCCGGAATTCTAGTTTATACCGCCGGTACCTCCCTTCGATTCTCGTCGGGAAACATCTTTTCTCAGCCGAAGACAATCAAATCACACAGAGGAAACGCGCGATTCTCCACCGGCTCGACGTCGTTTAGAGCCGCGACGCAGACGCTGAACGCCGAGCCAGCTGTAATTGAATCCGTTCGTCGGCGACCGTCGAGCCTCTACGAGCTGCTGAAAGTCAACGAAACGGCGTCGTTGACTGAGATTAAGACGGCGTACAGGAGCCTAGCGAAGGTTTACCATCCCGATGCGTCGGAATCGGACGGACGAGATTTCATGGAGATACATAAAGCTTACGCGACGTTGGCGGATCCGACGACGAGAGCGATTTATGATTCGACGCTGGTTACACGACGCAGACGGGTGAACGCCGGGGCTGCTATGGGTCGGGCGGGTCGGGTGTATACGTCGACACGGAGGTGGGAGACGGATCAGTGTTGGTAGATTAGACTTTTTTTTTTAGGGTTTCAGATGATTTTGCGGCAGCGAAAAGGGCACTTTTTGACTTGTTTTTCCCCTTTGATAACTTTTTTTTGTTTTCCTTTTGTTATATCTTTGGAAAATTAAAGGGGAAAATAAGTTTGATCAGTCTTGTATTTTTAACTTAAAGACGTGTATATTAGTTCCAGTGTTAAAAAAAAAAAAAAGACGTGTTTGTTTCAAGTTGTGAATTTTGCTGTCGATTAATTTAGAAAACAATCATAACTTTTTTTTTAATTTTGAATTTAAGCCAGAAGATAAATACTCCCTCTGTTCCTAAAAGATCCATATTCTAGTTTTTTCACACTTTTTAATAAAACACAATAAATTTGCATAGTTTTTTGTGTTTATCTTCTTTCTATAATTTTAAACCAATCAAAAATCAATTAGTGCAATTAATTTTTTTGAAGTTTACAATTATTTAATAAAACATACATTGAAAATGTAAAAAATGGATCTTTTAGAAACAAATTTTTTTTCTAGAATATGTATCTTTAAGGAACGGAGGGAGTAATTTAGATATATAGAAAAAAGAGACAATTTTAGATATATAATATAAAGTAATAACCATAGTTTATAAGACATACCCCAAACGGTAAAGAACAGGAACAGAAACATAAAAGCCTTTTTCGAATGAAAAACTTTAAACATTGGTTTGGTTTTTACATGAGATCCACTTGATGAAGGCAGAGCAAACGTATATGAAACAACCAGATTTTACATTTAAAAAGAAAAAATGATAAAAGGGAAAATACAAAATTCAAACCAAAAATGAAAAGATAATCAAAAATCTGACACAGAGATACAGAACGAGTAGAGATTGTTCGTGTTCCTTTGTTTTTTTCTTTTAGTTATATAAGCAAAAGACGAGAGAAAACAAAGAGTTGATCATTTGCAGGCCATAAGCATGGAGTTGATCACGTGCATTATAAGTCTTGTGGCAGTGACGTCGCTGCCTGGTGCGTTGCGGTGGTGGTGCAGAATCTGATACACTTGCTCAAAGATTGGCCTACCGTGGACAGCTACCATCTGGTCTGATGGGTTAATTGCTGCAACCACATCTGTCATCCACGCTAGCTTCCGGGAAGTGTCCTTGCTGATGTCGCAAGCTAGCTGCTGCAGCAGTGATAGTAACACCCCTTGGCTTAGAGGAAGTGGGTTCATAGCGAGTAGTCCACGCAGATCCACCTGAATTTGGTAAAAACCAATGTCACTGAGATCTTATGTAAAACTGATGATAATGACAGATATTACAATTGCGCAAAATTAAATTTCACCTGTGAGCAAAGCCATGATACTATGGAGACGTCGCTTCTCTGTAAAGCTGAAGTAAAAGATTCTTCGTATTTGCGTTCAGATATCAACCTGGATAGTTCTGTTATTGGGTCTGCTTCAACCTGAAAGGAATATATGTTGCGGTTATCAACTTAGGACCATAAATGATTCTGTCTTCATTTACCCTCTGGCTCCAATCATGAAAGACCACAGAGAACAGAACAAGGTACCAAAGAGGCTGAGAACTCTAAACATTCCCCTCTCCTAAGCCCAAAGCAAGGTCCTTGACCATTTCTATATGCTTACTTATACCTAAATTTCCAATGGTAGTTCTCTAGCTAACCTGAATCAACTATGATTGCTCGGAGCTACAAGTAACTACAAGCCACCTAGGGTAATTACAATGCTCCTGCAGTAGACTATAACACAAGGCTTATCAAATTCATAGTTGTAGAGATGTGACAAACCTTTTCAAGAAGAGCACCCAAAGGTCCACCACTTCGTTGAGAAACCAAGGTGTTTGATCCACTAGAATTTGCTCCAGCGGTTGCAAGAGCTACGCGATTCCTTTGGCTCTCCGCTAATTCACGGCTCAAGGCTTGAGCAACTGACGACGCAGAAGCAATGGTTTCCTGTAATTCGTGCAACAACTTCAGTACGCTATTTCGATTTTGCAACCATAAAGGATGATTTTCCACCATACCTTTAAAGTATGAGCAAGCTGGGAGTGTCCAACGTCAAACCGTTGTTGTGCTGCGTTTGTGTGCTCAGCCATCCCTTTCTGGAAGGCTGTGTCTACTTGCTCAAACATGGTCTTGCATGACCTCTCAAAGGAGGGTATGAGTGAGGCCTCCAGACCCGACCTAAGAGCTTCCTGAAAATTAGAAATGGCAGAAATATAAGAGATCAATTCCGTTTTCGCCAAGCTATAAGACTTCCAGTTCGCAACATAAGTAATTTTAGAGCATGGCCAATTCCAATTTACCTGGATGGCTTGCCTGCCAGATGTCTGAAACTGGGTTTGAATTTGCTTAGTTATGGTTGCCTCAAGCTTTGAATTAACAGATTTGTCAAGCTGATTAACTGCTTTGTCACCAAGTCCTCTCTGTATAAAAGAAAGAAAAATCACACTTTTTCAACAATACAATAATACAATGAGAAATCAGCTTCTACCAATTAGAAGTAAAATTCGAACCTGGACGGACTCCGTGATTGAAGAAGATACAGTTTTTTCAATAGCTGGTGTTAATGCACGAGCTATGGCTGGAACAGTTGTAGCAAACTCCTTCTTTATCGTTTTCTCAAACATTGCATTTAACTCTTTGCTCATGAAGTTTGTCATTGCATTCACAATTTGCTGTGAATTGTCACGCATTGCCTTTTCATTCTTAACGGTCTCCTCTTGTAAGCGGGCCCAAAGAGCATCAGCATTTGACTTGTTGGATTTCTCAATCATTCGCCCTAAAGCCACTTCTACTCTTTTACCTTCTTTAGTGACAAGGCCATTGATAGCATTCGACAGTTGTCTCGGCATCTCTTTCTGCGAAACCAATATCTGCAAGGGAAATAATGTTCCAAGTCAACAAATATTTAGCAAATTACCAAGGTACGGCTTAAGAAGAAAATAATAATCTATCGTCGAGAAATGCAATACAAATTACAATCTCTTATGATTGCCACAAAGAAGCATGTTATATGCCAAATCAAAATAACGGCAAGCCAAGCAACAGGGTACTTATTAAATTCAAGATCAAAATTTCACCTGATTCATTGTTTCTTGCAAAGCTAAGATAGATTGACTTGAGCTCTGAGTTTGCTCATTGACGGTATCAGCAAGATTAGCAACATTTGAGGATGTAGATGACAATCCGGGACCCTGTGAGCTTTTGGCCTTCTGCTTCTTCCCTTTGCTATTTGTAGCGGCTGACTGTGGAAGCCCAATAGATGAAACCGACTCAGGAAGCTTTCCGGACACATCTCTTGAGTCAAGATTATCTCCAGCTTGTACAGACTGTTCATAAGCCTTAGATTCTTCTGACTCTGTACTAGGATAACAGTCTCTTGCCATCTCATTGCTGAGATTCGAAGTCTGTGAGTAAAAGATTTTTTCTGTATTTACTGAAGGGCGATGCTCAGTTTCGTCATTGTAATTGATTTCACCATTCTGCGTCGAACTTGATTCACCTACTTCTTTGACCTCAACTTCTGTGTCTCTTGAATCAATATTGACATCCTGGATATTTGCATCTCTATCCCTTTTGTCTTCAGTGGTAATAGGAGTATCAGCAGACGAAACGCGCATCAAAAAATCTGAAGGAGTTACAAGATGAGTGGGGGGCTTGAAAAAACCTTGTGCTGTTCGCATCCCAGACAAATCATCATCAGGTGTAACATCCTTGTCCTTGCTTCTTGAGCTTTCCTCCAAATTTCTTTCTCCAACAGCATCTGCTTGCCTATCAACAGAATATACAGAAGAAGGTCCTTGGCCACCGAGTTCATGATGTATTGGCTCAATAACCTCTACAAGAGTCTGATAGCCAGAAAGTGTATTTGATAGTCTGGGACTTAGAGGAAGCTGGGTTGAAGTAGCATACGCCGACCCTGCAGCACTGGTCTCAGATAGCAGCCCAGAATTTTTAGGCTCACCGTTGGATGAAACAATAACTGGTGCTGTCGTCTCCCCAGATGCAGAAACCGCCGGATAAATAGATGGTTTAGGCACTAAATCAACTGAAGGTAAATCTGTAAGCTTCATTCCAGATGGTTTTGATATGCCTTCAACCAGATTTGCCTCCCGCGAAACACTAGAATCTGACTTCTCCAAACCCACATTCTCCTCTATAGGAGGAGGCAAACACAAGCATAAGTCTAATGTATACTGCTGGATTGCTTGCGTCTGAACACAATAAACCTTAACAATGGGTTCTTCTGGAGGATCATTGGTCCCGATAAAACTTAAAATCGGCATGGTGACTGTAAATTCAGATAAGTAGTCCATCCTTGTATCAGCTGGACATGAGCCATAGTCCAAATGCACGGCATATATGGCGTTTCTTTTCGCATTTGCAAGCAAGAGGAGGCCTGCCTCAGACAAGGCTATGACTTGGTTGAAAAACGCCATCTCTGCTCGTGGCTCAGTTGAACTTATCAAATCAAGTTTCTGAGTACAATTCCATGACTCAGATTCAGCTGGTAGGAGCCATCCTTCTTCCCCAGCCGGGACCCAAATCTTCATCTCTCGATTTAGAGGACCCTGCAAATATTGCCAACACAGACAGAGTTAGCAACTAAGTAGAAAGATAAGGTATGGTAAAAAACGTGAAGTCAACACAGTAGAGGTAACTTAGCATTAGATAAGGCTAAAATAAAGTCGGAAAAACTGATTCATAAAGAATTACCCCAGTGATGAGTATGACGTGATCAGATCTCTCAGGGGATGTCACAAATGTTGCCGAATTGACCGGATGGCCATCATGAGGTCTCAGAACTGCAACGGGTTGGGCCTTAAAATTTTGCCAAATCTTAACCTGTTAATATTATGAGAAAAGCAAGGGTAAGATTCTCTTTCACACACACACACACACACACTAAAACACTAGCTACTGCATATGTAGCCGGTTGAGATGCGACAATACAGAGTGCACGTCTGAGATGAAACGAACCAATGTTCCAAATTCAGAAATAAGCTAGAACTGTAATTGGATGTCAACTTCACTAGCATAACAAAGGCACAATTCCAATAATATGGGTAATCAGAATTCTTAAGTTAATTCATCTTCAAAAATATATATTAAGAACAAAGATGATAGAAATAGGATGACTCGAGTGAAGTATAATGATAAAAACAAATACAAACCGTGCCATCAACGGAAGAGGAAACGAGGCGTGTGATCATCCACTGGCACATGGATAAATCTGTAACCTCTCCATCGTGCTTGCCAACAATCTTTACACCGTCAATCAATTTATCAAGGTGGCACTGAACA